TGTGTGTGTGTGTGTGTGTGTGTGTGTGTGTGTGTGTGTGTGTATCCTGTCTGATTAGGAGCACTGGAGTTTCATCAATTATTCAACACAAGGTCAGAGCTATAAAGTTTTCACACAGCCATACATAAACCATGATTTTAAAGTAAGTGCACTTTGCAAAGTGCTTTACATTGAATGTGCTTTAAGCTTTTATTTATTTATTTATTTTATAAGTAAAGCCCTGTAACAGTTACAGTTACATTGTATGCTTAGAATGGCATAGTTGTCACACAAAAAATAAAATATCCTCATTTAATAAGAAGATATTGCTTACTCTATGAAGTAAACTTCCCCCTTCTCAGTGTAGGCCATCTCCCAGTTATCAGGCAGGGGACCCAGCTCTTCTTCATCTGCATCTAGAACTTTGGTTGGGGACTTGCAGGGAGATTTTGGGGCCTCCTCTCCTTCGGTTGGAGGCTCAGCAGATGCTGGGGCCTGGATTGACGCTTCAACAGCAACCTCCCCAGAGGCATCTGTGCTCTTGTCCTCATGTTCACTGGACTCTGTGGACCACAGACACACACACAGAGTTATTCTCACACACCGTGTACACACATGCAGACCTGAATGCACATTACACATGCCAAGCATGAGTCAGAGCCAAGCCACTGCAGAGCTATGAAGCCCCAGGAGAGGAGGGGGAGGGCGGTGGTGGTGATGGAGTCTGAGGACAATGAGAACGAGGAAAAAAACAACAACATAGAAATGTCAGAAATTGAAAAACAGGGTAAGACAGAGACTTGAGGGGTCAAAGACTGAGTCAGAAATAAGGGACGGTTTTTAGAGTGACAAGAAAAGCTGGTAGCAACTAAGACAGTCGATAAGAAGCACAGGATCAAGGTGAGAAATACAAAATCTAAAGTATTCCTGTTGTAACTTTGTGAAGGTGCAACGAAATTGCTAAAATATTAGAAGGTCTAATTATGAAAATATCTGACTATATCACCTTCACAGTTCAAGAAGAATCAATGGTGTTTCACAATCCTCTGTCAGGGTCCTGGGTCTTGTGTCTGTTAAATATCTTCAGTTTATTTCTTTGTGTATGGTTTACATTTTCACCTCTCTATCTTTCTGCGTCGTCTGTTTATACTTTAGCTCATTTCTCATGATTTCATTCCCCGAGTTTGTGTTCCTGCCCTCCTGAGTTCTCTGTGTCAAGCCCATGTTTCTGTTCAGTTTGGTTACTTCCTGATTTTTTTTTATTAATCTTTGTTTCTTGTGGTTTCTATTTAGTTTTACATCCCTTGTCTCGTTTTCTCACTTAAGTTCAGCTGACCGCGCAGGTGTTTCCTGTTTGCTCACATCACCTTGACTCAGTTTGTCTCATCTCTTTGACGCATCCTCCCTCGTTCCTATTGGTTGTGTGGTCCTCAGCACTGTTTCTACCCAGTTTTTGGATTCCTTCTTCTTCGACAGCCTTTATTTTGTAATTTGTTGGAGTTTAGGATTAATTTCCTGTCTCCCAAGTCATGTATTTGGGCCCAAATCAGCCATATATGACACTGTCTGCTAAAGTCTTGTTTAATCTGTCAGGTGCCCTTGGTCTTTGGTTAATTTTTTTTCAGTATTTATACTAGACAGGAAAGCAAACTTATTCAAGTAAAAACAGTAAGCAGGTTGTAGTAAGAGCTTAATACGTACTGTGTATATATACAATAACGACAAAGACTACAAAGAGAGACAGGGAAGCAGAGAGGGCAGGAGGGACAGGACCACAGAGATAAACAATTTGGAGGTAGGATGGACGAGGGTGGCAGGGGAAGAGAGAAAAGTCACGGTATTAATAGAAGCAAGGACAAAGGCCAGGAGCGTGATGACAGAAGGAGAGACAAAGAAACTTGAGGAAAGAGAGATTGGAGCTGATGCCAAAAATGGGACTGTGGACAGTGATAATGGTGAGTACACAGAGGTGCCCTTGTGCATACATGTTGTGTAACATAAGGTTATTGAGAACCTGAGAGTTTTGGTTCATGCAGTGTTGGAATAACTGATGGAGGCACATTTTTTCCTTTTAAAAAAATATACATTATATATATATATATATAATGTGTATATGTATATATATGCATATGATTGCATGGTAAAAAACCTACCTGCAGAGTCCAGCCTTATTTGAGGTTTGCATGACATCACTGTTGTAGATTGTTTTGTTCCTCCCCTTAAATAAGGCCCATTAAGTTTTGTTGCAGTGAAAGTGCTGAGGGCAATGTTGTAGTGCCCTTTTAAAGCCATGCACACCATTGTTTGTGCCCCTCTCACCAAGTGATTAAGCAGTGCCGAGGGAGGCATTAGGAAATGTGCTCTTCTCATGCAACCTAGTACCACCTTATGCTGTGATCCGTCACAGGGGCTTTTGGCGTGGCATAGGTTGGCCTGAAATGAGGATAGGGCAAGTGTCAGTGACGTCAAGCTGGCTGGAAAAAGGCATTTCAATTTCTCTTCTGCACGCATGCAGTCAATATGCTCCCAAGCAGGAGGGAGTAACAAAAAAAAACCTCTGGAAAAAAGTGTTGCTTCTTTTAAATTCTTGAGCAAAGGGAATATATTCTAAGAAAATCCTGTTTAAGATGGCAAGCTCCAATGAGTGACAGTTAATGGTTTGGGCAAGTAGAAATAGCCACTGCTGTGTGGGAACGAGTTTGATTGTGTGTATACGTGCATGTGGGCGTGTATGGACTTGTGTACTTTGGCTGGTTGAAGTAATACATCTTTGTTTCAAAAATATGTTACGATATTTATATTTCATGAAACAGAGGCCTTTGGAGAGTCTCCTTTGTCACTGTTGGCTTGCTTCAGAGTGTCCTTAGTAAGCATTAGCATTCTTGGACTTTCCCGTTCCCAGAAAGCTACATTTTTTCAGAATGAGATTCTTAAAGGCCTCTTTCCTTGTACTCTCTGTTCCCAAGCCTCACTTTAGTTAGGAAGAAGTAAATGGCATTGAGTTCTTTTTACTTGATCCACCTGAGCTACGAGGAATTTAAAAAGCCCTTTGTGCTCCTCCATTGTGTTTATAGTCTCCCCCTTCTTTTCTCACCGTGTCTTTCTTAAAGAGGTTGGTCTTTGCTTTGCTGCACTTTTAGGCCAACTTTTCCACTCTTTTGGGATCAAATGAGCTCAACAACAGAAATCAGTGCAGTTGGATATGAAACACATCTCTGACAGGAGATGTTGTTACTGTTCAAAGAATAACTGGCTCAGGCTCAAACATACGAACAATATCACGAGGTCTAATAACAAACACATATTGAACGCTAGCTTCTCAGGAAGTCTTTTATATTCACCAGTGTTTTGAAGTTTTGTGCCTGTGTGTGGTTTTTTGTGGTTATGGATTGTGCTGTGAAAAGCAATATTAATTTGAATGTTCACAATCATTCCTCTACCTCAATATGACTTTGTCCCCCCCACTTTTTTTTTTTTT